TATATGTACGAACATTTACATGTATGATGTGTCCAGGGGCGGGGCAAGGGGGGTGGCAATAAAAATGTCGCTGATTTGACAATGTTCTTTATGTTCAGAAAGTCGCCCGAAAGGCTTTCAACGCCACAGTTTTTCCCCAGCCGCCTGTGAAAGGTGGCTAACTCATTATGCAGTAATTTAAAATGACTGGGAACTCCGCCGTGGCTGGGAAACAACCTTCGGCTTCCCTTAAAGGGTTAAGCGAATGCTTCCTGTTCCCCCATTAAATATTTAATATTTTTTCATTAGCAAGGAAATCAGTTCTCAGCCTACCGTAAAATCTGCCTTATCATTGTACAGTTAAGCTTTATTTAAATATCGATAAGTCCCATTTGATACATATAACATTACTCGACTTTACTTAAAGAATTACTTGTGAAAATATAAAAAATAAATTTATAATTAAATTTGCATATATATATAGCAGGTAATATTTTTTTAAGTGCCCCTCATTACGATGATTAAAATATTCAATGAATAAGATTTGCAAGTACCCATTATAATATTTCTCCGTCCAGTACTCGTACCTGCTCGCTTAGTCAGTTCAATCCATTCAACAATGCTCATGAAAATGTATTATTGATTAGGAGGATAAACTCCCTATCTGAAATACACAATTCGTGCCTCAAAGAAGCCGAAAGCCAATTGTTGCATGAAGTTCCGCATGGTTGATTGCCAATCTGTGGCAATTATTTTATGCCGGGAATAAGCCAACTCCTCTATTATCGTTTTGGCATTGTTTATGCGTCAATGGGAAAACGAGTAAACAAACATGGCTATAAATAAGCGGCTAATAAGGATAATTGCCTGCTTTACAAATTGTCGCAAAGTAGGGAGACGGGGTGGAAAAGGAGGAAAAGGACTCGAGATAGCGATACGAAACCCCAAGCACACAGATAAGGAGAAGCACATCTACAAGTCAAAATAGTAATAAATTGCTAAAGAAAATTGCGTGGCATGGTGGGGAAAAAGCCCAGTCGCGAAACCGAAACATATGGACAAGGATGCCAAGGAGGTCCTTTGAATTTTATGTGTGTGCAAAAAGCGCGGGGCGAAGTGGGGTAACCGAGGACAGACATCCTTATTTATGGTCGTGCGGTGCGGCAAATTAATAATGCGACTTTTCTCATTTGTTTGCCGTTTCGTCTCTGGCTTTCGTCCTTCTATGTAAATGGGAATTTGTGGCAGGAACTGCATTTAACCCACAGCTGGGCGTCCTGTGTGCTCTTGTGTGTGTGCATGCGTGTGTGTATATAATAACAAAAAACAAAAGCAATTTGCAATGTAAATGCTGACGATAATGTGGTTCCCGAAGCCAATAATGACGATGATGAGGTGGACAAAGTCAAGTCAGCCTGGCTGGCTTCCTCTTTCACATTTGGCCTCATGTGGCACCCAAGTTGCCTTTTTCCTCTGCCCCAAAATGCTAATGAGCCGAGTCAAGGAATTCCCACTCTATCTCTCCTCACTGTGTACATTTCCCATGACTTTTCCTCAAAGTGTCGCCCCTTCGGGCAGTTGAACAATTTATTGCACGCTTCCTGCCGCTCGGCTTGCTGTTCCTGCTCCCCTTCAATTACATGCAATTCCTTCTGGCTTTTTATGGCATCCTGCATCGATCCGTCGCAGAATGTCGTGTGTGATTAACGGGTGCAATTCGCCGGGCACTTCGTCCTTCGTCCTGACAGGCCGACATCCTCCTCGTCTGCAGGCCTGCCGTCCTGCGCAACATTCTTGGCCCCAAACTATCGCACTTTAACTCATCTTTTATTTACACCACTGCCGAGACAAACCCGCCACGGCGACGCATTGGCGCCTACCCCCAAACATCGGGCAAAATTACAGCAACAAACAACAGGAACGGGTCGTGTCAAGGGGCAGCAGCAACAACTACACCAAATTACAACAATTAAAACAGGGGAAACCGTAGCGAAGGCCCAAGTATATACATACATACACTCGTTTATATGCGCAAATGACAAGGACGACAATGCAGCTCCATTTAATATACACTGATCAAAAGCAGGGGCTTTTTGCCATTCCCAATTTAGTTAGGCTACTGAAGAAAATGCGATGAATCTGGATGGATTTTGAAATGTGGAACATGGCTTACATGCAATCACTGAAGGTTACAATATTGGTTCAAGCTTCAGCAATTAAAGCACAAATTTATTGTTTGAACAGAAGCATAGAACCACATGCACTGAAGTGCACAAAGCACAAAGTGCATTCAGTAAAGAACGTTTTCTAAAATTGCCAATTTTAATTGGCTGTCCTGGAAAGTGCAAAGCATTATTCATAGAAGACTCCTGTTGGTTTTGCGTTATTGTGTACGACTTTCCATGCGGCTTTTCCTTTTCCCTACGCTCTTCCATCTGAATTGTGTATGCGCTTTTAATTATTGCCATGAGATGGTATTGTCGCTTCACTTTTATTATTCTCCTGTTATTTGCAATGTTTTCCTTCGGACATCAGCCCTCATGAGAGACACGCCCCGCCTTAAGTTGGCTTCAACGCCCACATTAACCACATTGCTACATTGAGTCCTGGCAAGTGACAGCTTTTAATTAAATAATTGACTATGTTCCGGGCATCTTGTGCGTGTTGTTGCCCAGTTGTTTGGCTCTCATCCAGCTTTCATCTGTCAGATCAGTGAGACAAAAAGGCCAGCTAACAAGATGTGGATGTGGAGTTCGCCAGATAGACGTGTTTATGATGCTGGCTAGAACGGCTGACAGACGCGAGTTCATTGAAACTTTTCGACTGTTGGCTGACTTTTGTGGCCCATCAGAGGAACATATAAGCAGATATATATAATAAACGGCATTAGTTATGCGGGTCGCTAAACTTTGCTCCCAAAAAACCAATAATAAATGTGGGCGGAGCTAGATAAATGGCCAAGAACCTCGCTTTCGTTCAAGCACTGGCCAATGAGTATAAATTTTAAATTTATTCCACAAAAGGAGTTCTCTGAACTCGATATGTCTCCTTTCTGTGCGGTTGTCCAACCCCTCAGACCGCACAGATAAGACGGATTTCGCAATTTATGATGCCGCAAGCGAAAATTGCAACGCAAAATGCTCTCCACGCGGTCGTAATATCTTTCTGTTCGTTGCCCAGAGCATTGGCATTGATTTCGGGCGAAAATCTTTCGTTAATTGAGTCGTAAATGCGGTGTTATTGATACCTCATTAGGCAGGCTGATAAACGCGGCGTATGCGCAATATTCCAGCCCCTTAAAGGGACTTTAAGCTGAGTGTTTTGGGCCTGATTATGTAAGTCCTGTCAGCTGCTCCTGACATTTGCCTCTCGATTTTGCACCACTCATTCGAGTGGACGCCCTGTGGCAGCCACAGAAACAGCAGCAACAATAAAGTCGACCACAAAGCAAGAGGACAAGGGACAAAAAGGCAGGCAATTGGGTTTCCGTTCAATGCGGGCATTCTCGAGCAACAACAAAAACCATTTTATGTGTGTACATAAAAGCTTAATTAAAATTTTATGATTATCATTTGGAATTCATCTGCTTACCTTGCAGGGGTTAGAGCTTAATAAGAGAAAACAATCCCGAAACACTTATGTTTTGTTTGCTAATTAAAGTCGGTACAACCGCAAAGTACTTGTTTTTTACTCAACATTATCATAACATGCTAAATGTGCCAATATAACGTTAAAGTAACTTTATTACTGCATTACACATTTCATTCAACCACAAAAGATGTCTGATTGAAGTTATGGGTCTGCACAACCGTAGTTAGACAAATTGGGCTTTAATTACAACCAGACTTAAAAATATTAATTAAATGTGAAATACTCAGTTTGGATGAAATAGCTGCGCGCTTATTAAATGAAAGCTCCCATTGGACCCATTTGTTTACGTTTTAATTAGGTGGCTAATGATGATGAAAGCCCCCTTTTCACATTCAGCAAATAATCCTTCTTCTGCGGCAACGACCTGCAACATTCCCAAAAGACGGCACGTATTTCAAGTGTCTTTTTAGCCAAGTTAAGTGGAAAGAAGCGCTTGAGCCACGTGCCAAAAGTAGAAAGGGTTTCCACCATCGTTCCCCCACGACCGTGTGTTTCCTTAAAAGTGCCGCCATTCCGCTTTATTTGGTAAACGTGACTTCAAAATATATATGTATAGTAATGGGTTTGAAATCAGAATAAATACAAATAACTTCGTGCGGACCACACATCAAGCTCCGTAACGATTTTAAAGAATTTAAGCGATGACATTGCTGTTGTGTTAAAACAAATGGTTTTCGGAAGCATAAACAATAATAAAACGGCGAACACGCATAAAGAGAGAACCGAGGCCATGTGGCATTGATGGATTTTTGATAAATGGACGAGCGTTATGACAAATATGCAAAAAAGAATCCAACGTCAACTGAGCAACCAAAGAGCCATGCGAAAGGCGATAAAATCCGAATCAAATAACGCCAAACAATGTCAGTCAAAACAAGTGGAGTGGCGGGGCGATTGAGAGGACAGGCAGCCGTCGAGTGAGCCAAATAATTGACAGTAGCATCAGGAAAAAGTTCAATTAGGGTGGTGGCTTTGTACACTGCAAAAAAGGAAAAATAGACAGCCATGCTTTTTTGGCACAGCAAAATGGCATGAAAAATACAGTGAGCCAACTGAAAATCAACAGCGTTGTCATCAGAAATATCCATTATTGCCAGATAAGAATTCATAACGAAATCCGATTATGTGTTTTTGGCACACCACTTCAATATGAAGGCAATACATATATTTGAATTGAAATAAATATGAAACATTTTTTTGTTTGGTAAACCTTCATTTTGTATTCCCAAGTGTAATTCCACTTTAATTGCATTACTTTGAATGCACGTCGAGTGCACAACGCTGCGTATGCGTAATATCAGCGACTTTCTATTGTTTTGCCCGATTTCACTTTCCCTATTTCATTTTCATTCAAACTTAATTTCAAACAGAAAGACATCATAAAAGTCCATTGCAAGAGGACATTGTGAGTTCAAGTGAATTTCAATAGTGAAAAATGAATATAAAATGTAATTCAAACACGTATTCAACTGGCAAACGTCGACAAGGCAAATTGTATCCCACGGTTTCGTAAAATGCATTTCGAGTCGTAAATTAATTCCACCGATATACGTAGAGCGTGCTAATCCAAATCGTGAAAAATGGGCGATACTTTGGACGAGACGCCGCCCACGCGACGCGACAAGCCACAAACATTGAACATTGGCCAGGAGGAGCAGGCATCCGATCCCGCATCCGCCAACACCAGCTCCTCCGCGTCCTCAATCACCATTCCCGCTGCCCGCGTACCGCGCCACCGATTGCGTCACTCGGATCGGGATCGGGATCGGGATCAGAAACGTGATCACTCGAGCGACGGTCTGGTCTCGAGTGGCGAACTGCGGGACGAGTTCGTGGGCATCGATGCCCAGCCGCGCCGCGAGAGTCTGAATAGCTGCGAGGTGGGCAGTCCGGGAGCCATGTCCTCCAGTCTCGGCAAGGCGGGACGGCTCAACAGCTCCAGGTACCCGTCCGGTGGCGCTGGTGCCATCGGCCTGAGTGTCATGGGCAACCTGGTGGGCACCACCACCCGCAAGTGCGTCCTCACGCTGGACGGGTACTCCTATGTCATAGGTAAGTGGCTGCTAGTCGGATTTAATGCAATTCAGAGCTCCCCTTTTATTAAGTACGCACAATGAAAGGTCGAGCAAGGGAACCTTTGCTCGATGGAAGGATAAAAGAGAACTTGGTTGGTGGTATCGGCTTGGAAAGCGCGACGAGACCGAAATGAAAAATACTATTAAACATTAAGAAACAAACCGCCAACTAACGTTGAACAACTTTCGAAATACTATAGACTTACCATAAGCTTTACACAAAGTTGCAAGGAAAATTATTTTCTTAAAACCCACAACCACTGTGCGGAAGGAGTCACCTTGGTACTGGTTTCCTTTGTTTCCAAGCTTTGACCGGACCTGCCCTGAACTCCGTGCACAATAAGCAGCACAAAAGTGTAAGGACCCTCAAGGATCTAGTTTAAATTTCGTGCCACTCGTTTTTCCTCTTGAAACTCATAAAATAATACGTGTATGCGGGTGTGCAGCTTATTTTTCTATCATTTCATTGCAGGTAAGTCAATTCAAATGGCAACAAAATGAGCTCCGCAAAAACCTAGCAGATTGGGGGTAATTCTCAGCAGGAAAGGTACGTTCGTGGCTCGGTGCAGCATTAAATTGAAAATGAAATTGAATTTCCAACGAGCTGGGATATTATAAAAGTTATCTCTTCGCCTCACTCCCAACATGGCACCCATCTTCCGGGTAGCAACAATTCATTTAGGATTCCTGTTGGTTGTAGCCCGGTTGAGGTAACAATTTATGAGAAACTTTTTATGCCTTCTGCATATGCCACGCAGTTTTCCTGGCCACCACAGCTTAGATTCCCAGCCAGTGGCGTACACACGGTGGGTAAAATTTTAAAGCAGGCTGCCAGGCAAACAAGGCTCGGTCCCCGATCCATTTTGAGTGGCAGCCGTTCTGGCCAACCTGGATAGCCACCTTCTCTGGGCCAAATGTACGATGTATTTCCGTTTCCTCCGCGTGCCCCTTTCAACTTGGCTTACATGGTGGCCAGCCAGTTGTGTTTCGGCTAATAAACTGCCCGGGACGGGAGCGCAGTGTAAGCTCAAAGGGGTGGCTTCCATTTGTGTGTCCATTTGAGATTAAAATTCATGAATTGTATTTCGGAGTAAACGAATTCACCCGGCACCGATGGACTGCATCAGATATTCAGCAAACTACGCATGCAATTTCGGATTTTCATGCCAACCGATGGAAGAAATGAAAAATGATTTCTCGTTGGTCGCAAAAAGCATTAGATAGATGCTAGTTTAATTTGATCTTGAATAAACAAAACCCTTGCAATAATCATTGATGTTAATTTTCGATTTTTCTATTTATATTATACATGGTTATAATTGCCCAGTTTCACAATTAAAGAGCATTTCTGTACTTACCTAATATAATTCCTAGACATAAATAAATACCTTTTAATTTTTACCTTTTTCCCGAAAGCTTTAATCCTTGAATTCACTTAAATCGCTTATCTCTTTAAGTCCTTTGTGTCTTTTAGCAGAAATAGTCGGCCAAAATTAAGCATTTGCCCATAATACGATTGCCAATTCTTTTAGCCCAAGGTCAGGTTTGTGCCACACGGCCCCTGAATGAGCCTTCGAATGTCCTGGCATGTCCTGGCATGTCCTGGGGTGGCTCGTTTACCCGGTCACGTAGCGGCCACAAATCGTGTGGCGATTTTGAGACAAAGCCGGGCCACGTGGAGTTTGAACCTCACCAGTCCCAAAAGCCACGCCCCCCGATGCCGATGCCGATTCCCATTCCGATTCCGAACCCGAGAACGGAGCCTTCTCTTTGTGCCTTTTTAGCCAAGTCGCTTGGCGGCCGCCTGTCCTTTTGGCTTTCAATTTATGGGCGCTGCAATATTTCGCAAATATCCGTAGCATATCCTGCGGCGACAGCGCAGACAGCATTGCAATAAATAGTCAGGAGTTTGCCAGCGTGTATGTACGAGTATGTGTGTGATTGGGTGAGTGTTTGACTGGAAGTGTCCTTCAATTGACATATTACACTTGTTGTTGGCCTGGTCGCTTGGTCGCGGCTGTTTTGTCTTTCGCCCTTTTACTGGTTATTGCCGTCGATTTGTTTGGCCCCTTTTCTGGAGGGGGCGTGTCTGACAGGGCGGAGATGGATGTTTCTGTGGACGGGATTTGTACGGTTCTCGTCTGGCTGAGGCACCGCTTGGCTGATCAAGCATTTGGCCAACAAGCTCGAGCCATAGGCAGCAGTCTAATTGATGTGCCGGCGAACAGCAGATGGTTCCACTCCCTATTTTTAGGAATTTTCTTTACCCGAAAAACCCTGCCCTTGTGATGAAAAGGGTTAAGTGGCTCATTTAGTTTGCGGCTCATTGGTTAATTTCAGAAATTGCCTTTTATGTAATTAAATGAAACAAGGAAAGAGGGAGCAAGAAAGGAACGCAAATGAAGATCAATTAGGATGACTTTGAGTTATGTCAGAAAATGATTAAAATAAATAAACGGGATTCAGATTTTGAGTTGTACCTTAAATTAATGGAAGCCTATTTATTTTCCTATCCAATTTTTATGATCATTTTTCAAGCTGAACTGGGCTTCAGTTTTCAGTTTTAGAATAAATGCCCAAACGATGTGATTAATAACATTTTCCGATTCCGAAATGTTTTAAATCATAGATTACGTAAATAATTCAAATATATTTCTTACAACTTAAGCAAGTTAACTTTGTCCAATAATGTTGGCGTAATCCAGTGATGTTTATGGACGGAAAGGAGAAGGAAAACTTTTTCGAAAGAACCACTTTCAAATAATTTAGCCCCATTTTGGGCAAGGATCCCAGAACTTAACTTCCAATCGTGAGTTATCAGAATCCGTGGCATTCTCTCAGGCGTGGCAATGGAGCCGCACATAACTGACAGAGCTGCGTAGTACGGCTTTTCTGGCCAAAAGCGGCGAGGAAATTTAATCAAATTTGCATAAATTCCGCTTGAACACAAAACGCTCAAAAATTCCCCGAATGCTAAGGAATGCGACAAAGGCAAAGAAAGACAGGCAACACATACATATACATATATACGAACATAAAGTTTTATTGTCATGTAAAGGGGCTTCATTGAATTTTCCTTGGCCAAAGCATACTTTAAAGGATAATGTATGCAACTCGCTCTGTGCTTTTTGCGCTCCCCTTTTCTGTTCTTTTCTTTTCTTTTACGGCAATGGCCTCTCAATTGGCAATCAATTTGGCTTGGTCTCTGTGGGACAACTTTTTCTTTCAAGTGTCAGCGACAGCCATAACAATAAAAGAGAAAAAGGCTTAAAATCAATTTTCGTTAAACCCTTCGCCAAAGCACACAGACAAAGGCACAGACATAAAAATGATTACCAATGGCCCGAGCTCGGAAAATTTTTTAATTAAAAGCAGTTAAAATCGGCGCCAACGACTGTCTGCAAAATGTATGTATACGACTATGGCCAAAAGTGCTGCAGAAAAAAATCATAAAAAAGCGAACTCCAAAATGTCTGCTGCCAAGTGCAGAAACACGCGCGCCGAAATGTTGGTGAAAATGTGTCGTAAAGGATGCCCACAAGGCTCTCCCTGCTGCAACCAAGGTGCACAGCCTCCTGTCAGAGCTTTCCCCTTGCCAGTCTGCTACAATTTGGCTAACTGGCACAAAGGCCAACACACACACACATCGCTTAGCCAAACAGTGTGTCTGAGTATGAGTACGTGCCGCTTGTTTGCTTGTGCCTCCTCGAATGTCAGAGAACAAAGGCCAGACAACGCAGCGCCGTTGTCCTGGCAATTCGACAAGGTGTTCATGTCATAATTTGAAGCTGAATTTCGCCAGATTTTTGGACCATTTTCCAGTTAGACGCTGTAAAGTTTGTGCAGCGCAAATGTTTCAGTGAGCAAACTTAAATGTAATTTAAACTTTTTAAGTACTACTCAGCATGCTGCAAATTCTAGGCGCTAGATAACTTTTTGAAGGTTTTAACTTTCTCCCTTTGATTGAAGTTATAGGCTCAAAGTTACAAAAGCAACTTTACAAAGTTGTTTGCTAAGGACAAGATGTTTAGTATTATAAAACCACATACTTGGGCTGATATGATAATGTGTACAGCTTATGCGCATTTCGAATCTCGGAACACATTTCCTGCTAAATCCGAGTACCAGCTTCCCCGTTAATCGCTCACTCGTGGAGGTCCTTCTTGTCCCAGCCAGCTTTTCGCTCTGGTTAATTTGCAGGCACTTTGCTGTAATTTCATTGGCATATCCGGTTCCTGCTGTAGCCGCTTCCTTTGCCAGGGCATCTGTCATTGGCCCAACTAGTCAGCTTCGGAGGATGTCTTCTGTTTGAAGGCATCAATGCGTTAAATTCGCAGTGACGGCTGTCCTTGCAGAACGCGAAACTATTTGAAAGCGGCAACAAATTGAATAGTAACAAGCCCACACTTTCCCATTCACCGCTGAGCTCGCTCACTTCAAATTCCTCCGGGCCAGGATAATTTATCAAGTTTGTTAGTGCGCGAGTGCAGCTGGAGACAAAAAAGAAGTGCTTCCTTCTCGGCGTACGGATTTGTAAAGTGATAGAGGGATGCAGTTTCCGTCAGAGGATAACACTTACATTTATTTGCTTTTTGCCTTTGCAGAGTGTCAAACGCTTAGCAGGAAGATAAGTGCCTTTGCCAGGCAAATCTCAAATATTTAATAGGGCATTAGGATGAGTCAAACGAAAATGAGCGTTCTGCTGGTTAAATAATGTTCTTAATGTGTACATTGTAGGTTAAACAACGAATAAGGTATTTCCAATTTATTAAAATCGTTATTGTACTCACAAGCTCATTTAAATTTATTGACTTTATCAAGGACTATAATTTTTAACAATATGAGATTTATCCGAATCAAGCCAGTCACTTGGAAATCAGTTCCGCATTGTATCCCAATCAAAAAGAAAAACCCATCTATCACCGCTTTTCCCCCGAACTTTTCTCGCCACTACGCAGATCCACTGTTAGAGGAAATTAAATTTGCAAATCCCATCGGCCACATTCAGAAGTCGTTAATCCTGGCCAACTGTTAATGACATTTAAGCTGATGTTCGATTCATTAATTAATCAATCAATCAATCAGCACATACACACAGAAATTGCCTGGGGAATCATTTTGCCTAAAATCAATCAAAACCGATGCTGATTGAAATTTACTTTGGTCCATTTGTGACGCCACAAGTTGTAGACCAACAGTCCGACCAAAACCACATTGGCCGACTTGGTGAGCTGCCTAACCAAGTTGCGACGTTGTTGGCTAAATACGGAAGCGCAATCATTATCACCAGTATGAAAAGTTGTCTAAAACAGCCATCTCGGTTGGCGGAACTCACCTCATTATAGTCAAGCTGCGCTCTCTTAAAACAATTCCGCCTCCAGGGGGCAGATTAAATCCAGAGTCCTCGGCCAAAATGCTGTCGCTGGATTATTCAAATAGTTTATATTTAATACCTTCGCTGATTTCGAAATAGACTGGGTGGAGAGGGGAACGAGATGAAACGCAGCGGGGCATATAGACATCAAAATATATATACTCTTAATCCGATCAGAGATCCGGTTCAACGTGGCGTATGGGCAATGAAATGTTTAAACTTGTGTGAATCGGTTAAGCCTCGAGCAATTTTTAATTTACGTTTGTTGAACTGAATGTGGACTTATCGTTTAAACCCCTTAAGGTTTTACTGAAAATGGCTAGGATTTAAGCTTTGAGAATTGCAAGACTTTGAAAATTTAAACGCTTTGCTGTTCAAATAATTGAACAGGATGTTATATTTCTGGTGTTCTTATTTTGCAGCTAACAGAAAACTAGTGCAGTGAAATGGGTGGGATTTTCACATTTTCGTAATTTTCCGGCCATTTCCAACTATTAACTTCTAATCCAAACAACTTCCATTTGCTGGGAAAATATTTGTACAAGCATGGAGCAATCAAAAGTTTCCAACAAGTTTGCCATAGTTGCCACTCACAAGTATTAAATTCAGTTATTAAAGGACATTTAAAAACTTTTGCATGTGGTATTCTGTTTTGTGCCGCCCTTGCGACATTTCCGAAAGGCTGGGAGGATTCTGCACCAGTTCCATAAATCTTTTTCTGCTTCATGGGTGTGTTCTTCCTCCATACATGAAAAATTACAGTGGCCAAGCGAGAATGAAACACCAACATCAACCGCGGCCAAGTTCTGGGCAAGTTGCCAGGAACAGGCGACGTTGTGGCCACTTTTTCCGGACAGGATCCGCCCCCATTACCACTGGACAGCGTTCAATTGAATCGAGTCAAACGAAAAAATGCACCATCGCTATGGTCATTAATTTTGCCCCATTATGTATTCAATCGCGTGACATTTTGAACGGAAATGCAATTAAAGAGCAAAGCCGCCATCAGCTGGTAACTCCTCTAATCCCATTCCCGGCTAGACCAGCCGACAGACGATGCCCTCCCGGGCGGCCAGGAGCAATGCACTTGCGGCGATGGGTTGACTGCAGCGGGAATACAGAAAGAAATCGGTATAAGGGACATTGAGAAGTGAGGGGTCTTTAATTTAAAACTGAACATACAATTCCAAACCAGATTTAAGACTTTTTTGGAGCTTGTTGTTGACGGTGTAAAGCGGGAAATGAATGACCACAATTCAAAGGGACCACAAACTTACCCGGGCTGATACTTGGAATCCACTCCGGAAACTTCAACAACCAGTTTCTTGGGCTGGCTAAGAAACTCTGAGAGATCCACCAACTGCTCCTTGTCGCTGACATTTATCACGATAATTATGGACTCAAAATTGGGATAGCTCCTAAGCAGAATCGTTTCCAATTAATCAGCCTCAGACTCATAAGAACAGATTTCGTTCACCTACCGCTTGAAGGCAAACACCCAACGAGAAAGGGGTTCAATGTTGAAACGACCCACACGCATAATCGCCGACTTTCGCAGCTCAAGTAGGTCCTTGTAGACCAAGTAGTGGCTCCTGTTAGCCGCCTTCTGGGCCTCCAGGTTGAGTTGCAGGTAGTTCGGGTGGACAGGCAGCCAGGTTTTAGCGGCAGTGGAGAAACCTGTGCGAATTAGTTACTCAGACATATTTCAATTTTAATAATAATAGTAATGGCTCACCGGCATTTTTCTCGCTACTCCACTGGAACGGGGTTCGCACCGGGTCCCGGGAGACCTCCTTGTACAGGTCTTCTCCAACATTTCTGGCCGGTGGATCCACCGTGTCCTCCCAGCGTAGCTCGCGGTAGTCCACCATGCCGAGTTCCTCGCCCTGAAAAGTCGATGGATAAAGCCAAAGGACCACAAGCAACCGACCAACTCAGCAGCAAAATCTCACATTGTAAGTGACGGCGACACCGGGCAGGGTGAGCAGCAGCATGTTCATGGCATCCACGCTGGCTGGACCGAATCGAGAGGCGACCCGGGGGTTGTCGTGGTTGCCCATGACCCAGTTGGCTGCGTGCCCGCGCGGCATGTAGATCAGCCACTTCTCCACGTTGTAGACATAGTCACGCGCATCCGAGTCGCCTTTGACATCCGTGATAAAGTGAAAGTTGAAGGGCAGATGGGAGCCCCGAACACCGTTGGAATCCTCGTAGTAGTCCGCCAGCTGGGTGAGTCCTGCGTATGCCTCCGTCATCATGATGCGTGTGGGTCTTTCGGGGTGCTTGGCACTAAAGTCGTTCAGCAGCTGCCTCCAGTGATGAATCATCTCCAGGACTTCTGGCAGATCCCTGGAGTAGATGTGCTTGGTGTAGTCATAGGAGAGTGAATCCGCTGTTTTGCCACTCAGCGGCTCATCTTTCAGAGATTCATCCTCGAATAGGTGATTCACTGCATCGATGCGGAAACCGGCTACGCCCTTGTTCAGCCAGAAAAGCAACACATCATCCATGGCCTGAACCACTTTGGGATTACGATAGTTCAAGTCCGGCTGCTCCTTGGTGAACTGGTGAAGGTAATACTGCTCGCGACCTTCGTGCCACTCCCAGGCGGATCCGTAGAAGACCGATGGCCAGTTGTTGGGTGGCACTCGAGTGCCATTCTCCTGGAGGATGCCATCGTGCCACACATAGAAATCCTCGTAACCCGGCTCCTTGGCCACAGACTTCTTGAACCACTCATGCTGATCCGAACTGTGATTCGGGACAAAGTCCAGAATAACCTTGATGCCCAGCTCGAAGGCCGTGTCGATTAGCTCCTCGAAATCCTGCATAGTGCCATACTCCGGCTGAATGGCCTTGTAATCCGATATATCATAGCCGAAGTCAACCATGGGCGACTGAAAAATGGGACTCAGCCAGGTGGCCGTGATGCCAGTGTCCGCCAAGTAGTGCAACTTCGAGGTGATTCCCTTCAGATCGCCGATGCCATCGCCGTTGCTGTCCTTGAAGGACCTCGGGTAGATCTGATAGAACACCGTGTGCTGCCACCAGTCGATAAAGTCCTCCGTGTCGCTCTTCATCAGACCGGCCATTGTGGAGCCCGAGTTCAGCAGACTAAAAAGAAGGATTTGGATGAGTGGAGCGCGCATTTCGGCGAAATATTCTGTTCGATGTGCTCGAGAGTTGGCAGTGCGACATGCACTTTTAAAGCGATTCTACCATGTAATTAAAACATTTTTTGCATTAATCTTTATATAATTATAAACAGTCGTATTAATGCTATTATTTGTTGGGAGATTTTTATCAGCTGTAATCAAAACAAATTGCGGTGCAAATTAAATGAGTAAACAAAATTGTTTTTCCCAATTGTACGGCACACTGCACTTGACAAGCCAATCGGTGGAAAAACGATGTGCTTTTTATAGACATTTCGCCGTCTGATCTACACCAAAATCACTATGCTCACCTCAAGGAAATCAAAATAAACTAAACACAATTATATTTCTCGATTCCGCGATTTTAGCATCTGCCGGCGATCAACTCAAAGCTTTTGTGGAAGTGGATCGAAAGTGGCAGCTGATCGAAAGCTTTGGATCCACGGGCAATTTCATGATCATGATGTACAGAACTTTCAGGTGGCGCAGAAACAGTTTTCAGATACTGTTTTTTCACACCATAACAAGCCAAAAGCCGGTTATAAATTAATAATTTAACTGGTTATACAAAAAATAATTATTTGAGCTATGTATATTTATACCCGTTACTATAAGTGTTATATAATGGCATACCTATAAATGTTTTCGGCGCAATTCCCTACAAATACGCATTCAAATTTAAAAATCTTTTTTTTTTTTTAATTTTTTGATGTATGATGCTGTAGAAAGAAATGTCCCAAGGCTGAAGTTCTAAGCTCCATAACTCAACGTATCTTAATCGGATTTTGAAGTGACATACCTTTAAATGTTTCTGGCGCAATCCTCTAAAAATCTGCATTCAAATTTAGAAATTCATAATATTAACATTTTTTTGTAATTTTTTTGATGTTATGATGTTGTAGAAACTGACAAAAATTAAGAAATGTCCTAATGCTGAAATTCTAAACTCCATAACTCCCCTTATCTCAATCGGATTTTGAAGTGGCATACCTCTAAATGTTTCTGGCGCAATTCTCTAATAAATTGCATTCAAATTTAGAAATTTATTTTTTTAAATATTTTTTTTAATTTTTTGATGGATGATGTTATAGAAATTGAAAAAAATGTATAAATGTCCCAAGGCTGAAGTTGAAAACTCCATAACTCAACTTATCTTAATCGGATTTTGAAGTGGCATACCTTTAAATATTTCTGGCGCAATCCTCTAATAAACTGCATTCAAATTTAGAAATTTATTTTTTTTAATTTTTTTTTTATTTTTTGATGGATGATGTTATAGAAATTCAAAAAAATGTATAAATGTCCCAAGGCTGAAGTTGAAAACTCCATAACTCAACTTATCTTAATCGGATTTTGAAGTGGCATACCTTTAAATATTTCTGGCGCAATCCTCTAATAAACTGCATTCAAATTTAGAAATTTATTTTTTTTAATTTTTTTTTTATTTTTTTGATGTATGATATTGTAGAAATTCAAAAAAATTAAGAAATGTCCCAAAGTTGAAGTTCTAAACTCCATAACTCAACTTATCTTAATCGGATTTTAAAGTGGCATACCTCTAAATGTTTCTGGCGCAATTCTCTAATAAACTGCATTCAAATTTAGAAATTTATTTTTTTAAATATTTTTTTTAATATTTTGATGGATGATGTTATAGAAATTCAAAAAAATGTATAAATGTCCCAAGGCTGAAGTTGAAAACTCCATAACTAAACTTATCTTAATCGGATTTTGAAGTGGAATACCTCTAAATAATTGTGGCGCAATTCTCTAAAAATCTGCATTCAAATTTAGAAATTTATTTTTTTTTTTAAATTTTTGTCATTTTTCTGGTGATTGATGTTGTAGAAATTCAAAAAATGAAAACATGATCCAAGGCTGAAGTTCT